CCAACTAGATACGCAGGTGAGTTTACCTGGGAGCTGTGGTTTATCATCAATTTCAGAGGCTCGTCTTCAATTGTCTTTTCAGTTGTCACGTGAATAAAGGTTTACAATTCATAAAAAATAAAAATTAATACGGGAATGAAGAAATCGAAGAAGAAAATTACAGGAGTATAAGGAAAATATTGAAAACGGCTCGCACAACCTGTACAATAACAGGGATCGAATGACTAATTCGACGCGCTTGCGGAGATATCTCTTACCTCAAATCGTTGCGGATGACGCTAGTACAATTATGATCGAGAGGGGAAGTAGTTCCGGTGACAACTGTGACGCACCTGATTCCGACCTCTCGGAGACGGGAACAGCTCTCATTATGATGCGTCCAAAATTGCCAAATTGAAGGCGGCTACGGTTTCTCGGTAACACCTTAGAGGAGCTGATGGGCCCTCAACAGCCTCTTTTTTCTATATATAAGCATCGTTGTTATTCACACTTCACATAAATAGAGAGGTCAATGCGGATACACAAAACGGAATAAACGTACGTGATAAAACGTCACGCGTGTGAATTCGTGTCTAGAAAGATTACACAGAACACTAGAGACTTAGTGCTCGGTTGTACATCCATAAAACACGGATTCTCTCGAGAGACTGACTCCTCGTCCAGTGTACTAGCTCAGTTATTTTTTTCTTTATGGCGATGCATCGTGGCGAACCGGTGGTCGACCGTTGGGTTTCCTAACACGTGTGTTGGCCTACCTGATTCGGCGATTAGTCTGGTTTCATATTCGGCACGAAGTGAGCAACATCGAGCATTTCCAATGATGGCATACCGAGAGTAAGGAAGGAATCGAGGTTGAGAGAATCTGGTATTTCCTTCCAATGTGGGTTACACATATGTTCGAAGGTTCCTTGCTAAGGCTATATAGAACACGCACCCACCCGCATGCCTATAATAGTACACGGTACGCAAGGCATATGAACAAAATTATATAATAATATTGCAATGCCGCGAGTATAATAATTCTTTAATATATAAAATGAAGGAATTTTAAGCAAATAATAAAAGTTTAAGCTTTCCTATGAAAAGTTCAAAGTATAGTTTCTCAATAAGTATACCAATTGTTTATGATTGTTTTTTTCTAGCAATAGATTAATTTTCAACAAAATTATAAAAAAACGAAATACCTATTTTTTCCAAGCCAACTAAGTCTCTTTAATTATTCGAGCCATTGTCATAACTAATTTGGCCCATAATCAGGCTGCTGAGGCATCCGTAACGGGGTAACGTCCGCAATTTGTTCTTTTTACGCTCGGGCGCAGGAAAAGCTCCTCGGTTCTCACTCCCCCTTTTCCTTTCGCATTCCGCCGTTATAACTGCGCGTTATACAGGCGTTCTGTAGCTCCAGCAAGAGGAGCTTAAGTGAGTTTCTTCGCTCATTCAGTTCTTGTCTTGCATTTTAAAAAGACAATTTCTTCTGTACTCGTGCACTTTCAAGCCCCAGCAAGAAATAGATAAGCACAGGGGAAAACAGATGAACCTGGATGCGCGATACGAGAAAAAGAGCGGGCTGCCGAACGGCATGCCGTTCTGTGAGATCAAGGAGCCATGCGCAGAAATATTTATCTGGCTATCTCGTTTTCAGCGAGTAAGCTTCAATTTCGCTCGGCTATGTTATTTTCTGCCCGGTTTTATTTTTCCTTATACGTTTTTGTGATTACTCGCTGGGCTTTGATGACTGCTGGCTGTTCGTTAGCACGAAAAAAAAAAATTAAACAGGCTAAATATTATGTCGGACCCGAGGCGTTGATTAAGCTTCTATGTATATATATACATGTACATCGAACTTTGTCTCTTCTATTTAGGAAATTTTTACCATGACGGAGCTTAATAAGAAGAGTGCGGTAGATATGAAGTCTAATTTGAGTTGAGAGTAACGCGACGTATATATAAATATATCTCAAATTAAAATACGTTTCGAATACAATTCTAATGCAATAAATAACTGAAATTTCAGTAGTTCATTAATTATGTCGATCTCACTGAAAGTTTCCGAAAAAAACGTAAATTTGAGAGAAGTAAACATTGGGTATACTTTAACACAGACACGCTACAAAAGTACTACTTCCATCTTAATCAATTTGTTTTCATTATTTACCAGCGAGCGAAAAGAAACGAAGCGCATCAACTAGATCCAAATGAAAGTGAATTAGGTGCAAGTTTGTAAAGCATGGTAGATACTATGAGTAAGGAGAGAGAAAAAAACAAGAAAAAGCTTGGGTAAGGAAGGAAGGCGGCACCCCGGAGCTGTGATTTTTCTCACGCTTTCAGCTGAGATCCTTTGCAATTAGGTACTTGGAGCCGCCTTGATCCAGCTCTGAGAGTAAAGTAGCGCGTTGGGAAGAGATAGCGCGGATATCCGAGACGCGCGCGGCTGACCTAAAAACTCGGCTAATTTTTTTTTTTCAAATAATTTGGTTTTCGCTTCTCGCGGCTAACTTTGGCAGCTCAAACTTTGTCGTTAACATCCCTGTAATTCGACAAATGACCGACACGCACATGCATACTCCGAACTTGATAAATGTTTCAATGCGATCCGCTGTCTTACTCTCTGCCCGCAGAATCAAATTACTTAGCTTGGCTTCCGACCCCTTTTCTTCGCAGCCTAGTAACTCGTGTAGCTTGTCATAAATTTTACACGATCTTTAATTAAGAGTAAAGTTCGGCGAGTTTCGCATACCTAATTAGACGAAAACTCCTCGCTAGCGACAGAGCAAACAGTCGAAACCTCGGCGCTCTTCTCACAAAAGCATGCGGAACGAATGAAAATCAATAGCTTGCGCGCGCGCAAACTTTTGGAGAGTACAGAATTTTGAAATGGAATAAGTTTCTCTCGACAAACATTCAAAGGCTAATAGAAAATGGATCATCTCAATTAATTTAATTCTCCCAAAGTTATAATCTATAAACTTTCGTCTGTTCTGTGCGAAGTTATGTTAATGAACCCTGTCACTTACAGCTATCGTAAAATTAGAACGTTTTAAGTTAAAGATATGATTGATCTATTTTTCTCCCACAACGATTGTCTACGAGGAAAAATTGATTAGAATATGCTAGAATGCAATGATACAAAAGCAATAAAGACAGTCCTTATCACTGTCCAAGTAACGTTTGTGTACCATTTAACATCTTCCGCCGCAAAAGTGGCGATATCGCATGTTCTCAGAATCACATTTAAGTAAACATCTAAAACTCTCCGAAACCCGCGACCGAGGATTGGTCGGCATAATTGTATGTCATCGTGTTAAATCACACAGAGACGTGCGCGAGCGCGAAGATAGGAAGGTATGGGCGACGATGGCAATTAGGTCCAGCAAATTAAATGCGGCAAGCAGCTAGCTAATGAAACAGATAGGCGAATGTCGGCGAGACATGCAGGTAGACACAGTCGAACGTGGGAGGAGGTAGGTCACGGCGCGGTATGGAATATTGCGTAGATGGTCTGCGGACGTGCTCGATGCCAACGTTAACGTGTCAGCTGCGTGATGTGTCTTGCTGAATGGCCATGATAGCTGCAGACGACGTGCGCGCGAGTGTAGTAGCTCTTTGGAAGTTACTCATAGCGCGAGTTTGCATAAGATTGCTCGCGGATTATGCAGTGAAAAGAGCCGTGGTAGCGGTCGGTACATCGAAGTTGTGTCGAGACACATCAACTAGAGAAAATGAGGACTGCCAGGTCAGGACGTTATACACTCGGCCCCGAGATGCTGTGATGCATGCACGCCTTCGACTTGAATACCGCCAGGTGCGTCGCTCATTTATGAGAGTCGACGTTATCTGTTTGGCCAATCTTGTCAGGTGTACTGCTCGAGAATACTGAACAGTCGTTAGAATGCAAGTGGTATGTGCATGTTTACGAGCGTTCGCGTGAATGAAACCAATTATATATTTGAGAAATGAAAAGATTTCTCATTTAAAACAATACTAGCAGTTTTTAGCTTATTGAAGCAACAAAAAGAAGAAATAAAAGTATCGCTGAAAGTAATTGAAAAAGAGTCTAAACAAGTAACGACCTGGGGAGTTTCCGAGGGCTAAAAGCAGAAAAGCGGATGCACCGCAGAGCAAAACATTAGGAAGTCGCAAGGCAAAGAGCAACAAATACAGTCAATGGCACTAGGACTTTAGAAATAATCTTTTAAGGAAGATTGTGGACGCTGCTGCAGTTATAAACAGAAATTTAGATTCAGTTGCCAAAGTAAACACAGAGCCCCAGGAAGCTGCTCGTTCTACTGGCTTTTCCCTTCGCCATCCAACTCGATCCCCTTGCTTTCTCTTCTGCTCTCTCTCTCTCTCTCTCTCTCTCTCTCTCTCTCTCTCTCTCTTTCTCCCTTCTACGAATCCTCTTTATCTTTCTCTGCCTTCGCTTCTTCTTCTCTTTCTCTCTTTATACTTGGATAGACTAGCAGTAGAACTTTTCACTTAGTCAGGCTCATACCACCGGAGGAGAAACGAGGAAAAAGAGTCGATTTAATAAACGGTGACGCTGTTGGACGTCGATATGATATAAAAGTTTTCTCACCTACGATGATGTTCTCTAATAACAAAGGGAGCCCTCGTAAATTACGATTATTATTCTGGTAAATCTAAAACCTTGACTCGAATGTTTCACACTGAAATAATGCATTCAAAAAGAAATAATACATACAGATTTGACTTTGCACTTTGACACGTTAGTTACCAAGGGGAAAATTGTGATCCCCAGCACGATTGTCACACGATACAAAGAGGAAAAAGGTTTAAAACGTTTCTGCCGCAACTTGTTTCCATGAGGTGTCTCGTGTCGCTGTTGCTGCTTGTCATGCCTTGCGAGTTAACGAGGGACTGGCGCTCGCGCGCCAAACGATTGCGTCATGCAAAGGGTGTACTACATACAGAGTAGGGAAGTCGAGAAATCTTTTGACGTGCTCGTTTCTTGAATAGTACGTATTGATGTGTATACATACCACCAGTAACACGACAAGTTAGCGCGAGATTGTCGCCTTCCAGGTAAGGACCTGCTGTTCCATTTTGTATCCGTCCCCACATGTCCAAAATTGTCAATTGCTCTGGCGGAACTGTAATAAGAATATCACTTCAGGTGACTATTCAATATAATTTTTCACTTTATATTAAAAATATTTAATGCGTTGAACATTTTTGTATTTTCTATGAATAACACTGCTTAAGTAGAAAGCTTTATTCAGAAATGAATGTCTAAATTTTAATTGACATGTAGCGAAAATCCGAAGAATGGACAACGCGAATAAAGCTTTGCATAGATTGGAAGTTGTTGTGGAAACAGCAGTAAGCTTACAAAACGGTAACTATTAGAAATACGAGTATATTTTAATTAGAATGTACTGGAAAAATATAAAACTCGAAAAATATAAAACAATTCATTTGTTGTCAATTTTAATCATTGATATAAAACGTAACACTTTGATGCATTCATTTAAGCTTCATCGAGAATTCATAAACATGGCTTAATAGTGCATCAATGTGTTCAAAAGGACAATAATGTTGAGAGAATTGTGGCATTATCCGGACTGTATATATCAAGCTTGCATTATCGATACTTTGAGTGCAACATTCGCTCGGGTACACAGTTTCATTCAAACTCTGCAGGCATGGAGTTTGGCCAAACGTATAACCAGATGCGCGCACGAAGCGACTTCATTTCGCCTAATTCAAACAAACAGCTAGAATATGAAGCGAGCGTAACAATTCGTATAACTCAAGTTTTTTTTTCTTACTTTCTTGCTGTTTCGTTGTGCGTAGTTAAGCAATTACAAGAAGGCGAGAAAAGGGATGTCACGAAATTCATCATGTGACAAAAGGGTTGATGTCAGAGGGGTAAAAAGGAGCGTAGTATATACGACGGAAGCAGCTTAAATTGGTCGTGGCTTATCGTTAAATTAAATCACGGCTGGGCGCGCGCGGGAAAGAGAGAGAGAGAGAGAGAGAGAGCATACATACGACGGCGACGTTGCCTGGCAGATCGATCTGCACGACCCGCTTACGAGATGCTAATCGACGCGCACATGTATACACATACATACACAACTATGCTCGCATGAGAAACGCCTGGGCGGCCAGCAGCCAGAGTAATGCCCCGTCTAGTGTAAACAGAAAGTCCGATGCATATGCATATGTTAGAGCGCACGAAAGACTGAGGAATGACGAGGTGTTGAAATTTGCTGAGTGTTTATGGCTAGAAGGAGATTCGAAAGGAGTAGGTGAATATAGGTACAAACACATTGTTCTAGTAGCTTAAAGGCCTTTGAGCCGGACTACCGATCGCCCCGTAGTCGTCGATTTTGAATGGCCGTCATAAACGATTCAGATATAGGATCGCTGGCCATACGCTTAGATATAGCTTGAAAATTGTTAAGTTGCTATAAAGGTTCAAACTAAAAAGACTATATAATTTTTTCTTTGTTCTCTAACGCAAAACTTGCATTTTCACCTTGTATTCGTGGTTTTTTTAACTCATGCAAAATGTGCTTCGTTTTCAGAATGCAGACAAATTTTTTTGAACTCGTCACGGATTTCACTAGTTTTTAGATAGTGTACAATAAATATACAGTTAAATGCTCAGTTATTCAATTTAGGTCATATTTTGAAAGGATATTAACCTACTGATTCTAACGGCACTTGTCAAAATTACCGATCGCAAATGTTTTTGTTCTCTTTATACGGCAACATAAAACATATCGGTTACTCCATTACTGCTGTTCCGTTCCATAGTATAGAAATCTATTGATGGCGAATATGTGTGGGCGATAGTGCAAAGGGTTCAGCATAGAGTAGTAGGGAGCATAGCGATGGCAATTACTGCTGGTAATCAATGGCCCCGGACGACCGATAATTTTAGGGACGAACTCGCAACGAGATAGAACGCACTCAACGCCCTACTCTCGTCTCTGTGTGTACGTCCAACGCTGTGAGAGAGGGAGCCTCAATTTTAATCGAGTTAATTTTAAAGTGGCTTTTCGCTGGACCGCGAAAAACGATCGAGCATAGGGAGCATGAGTCATTGTAACCGATGAGAAATTTTTCACTGAAGATTTCTTTGCCTGTAACACCGTTCGTATCACCTAGATACGCGTACATGTTTTTATAATACTAGATTAATGCAACGATTATGTACTTTTGCTCTTATCACGATTTTTCGCCCTAGCGCTGCCTTAACAGCATACGCAAGCTGCAGTAAGAAAAATTTTGTGACTGAAATTGTATGACTGCCAGTCATTAGCGCTGGTCGCGCTATTCAAGCATTTTAGAATGAAGTTGAATGAAGTTGGGCTCGTTTTCAAACGAGATATAGGGAGACCAGAGTAGTTGATTCCACATATATTTTGGAAGTAATTGTATTTTAATTGTATTTGGAAGTATTTTAACTCAATTATTTGATCAACGGATTATCGAAGAGAAAAATGAATTAAACTCTTCCATTAGCATAATCAAGTCACATTAGTTAGGTGCATTCGCACGCACTTTAGGTATCGTGATTCAAGGTAACCCAAAATAATTACCACTTCATATCGAGAGTGCTCTTCTCTCTCCTTCCCTCTCACTCCAACTGTATAGTTCTCGGCGGTGGGTGGTTTTAGCTACAGTCGGCCGCGGGCAAGTCAGAACCAAGCCAAAGTCGGTTAAGTTCTCTGAGTGAGTGAAGTAGACGAGGTTCTGGCGCCGCTAGTAATCGTCCGACAAGGTCGGCCACGCGAGAGAGAGAGAGAGAGAGAGAGAGAGAGAGAGAAGGGGAGGGGTGAGAGCGTACATCTGGTCGGACAAGCCACTCGAAGACGCATTCGAACAGAAATTAACTTCCTCCCACTCTGTTGGTGCAGTGGAATACGTGACTGCGATCGTCGAGAGCCTCTTTGAAATTGGACTTGAATGCCCCGTTCCCTTCACTCTTCTCCGCTCTCTCATCTAGTGATGTGTTTCGCGCCTTGTGAATGCTTTGTTGGGACGCGCGTACGCTAGTGCTACTGCTAGCAACCGCAGTAGTGAGAAAGAGATCAATGCGATTTTCAGCGTTGTAATTGCGGCGTTAAGAAAATTAGTGTGGCTTGTTAATGGTCGTGATTTAAAAGCCGAGGTAGAAAGAAGGAAAGAGAGCTTACGTTAGATTGATATGCCAATCTGTGAATCTAAAGCTTTGGGTAAATTTAGGAGTCTATTTGTTGTTCTTTTCTTCATTATACTGCCCCGATAATGTAGTTTGTGTCGTCTGTCGCCATTTAAGATGTTGAATTTCAAGTTAATTATCATTATTATTTTGTAAACTTATTACCTGACCGTTCATATTCTAGCAATCCAGAATATTAAGAAAAGATTAATGCTAAGCAAATTCAAAACGAGAATTTCCAAGAAAAACAAGCAATAACAGGGAAAAGGAAGTGAGCAGCTACATTATGAACAACAATTTAATCGAAAAGCTTCTGAGAAAAATGCAGTGCCCGGTCAAATTGGAATCAATAATATAACAGGTTCGTCAACAGAGCTATGAGGTTTTCCGTATTACGATCGAGCCTATAGCAACTACGTGCGACACGCTGCAATGCTTTCATTTCAACGCGCTCGCCCGCGATCGTGGCGTGTGCTGATAAATTTAGAATGAGCACTACGGCCTAAGCTACGAATGAAAATATATTGGATTTATATACGCCAAGTCATAGAGCTTGGATTGGTTTTTACTGAGTTGTGGTAGGTTGAGGCTTTCTATAATATTAAACACTAACTTGAGGTATTATCAAGTTGTAGTTTATTTTTTGCAATATCAATAGTCAAAACAACTAAAAACTGAAATAAAACAAAATAAAAATTTAATTTATAGCTACTTTATAAATATGAACAGACAAGTGTTAATAATTATTAAATTGTATTTCGTAATTACTTAAATGCGTATCGATTCTCCTTCATGAGAATCCAGACGTATGTACTTATAGCGTACAAAACGACTGATGGAAATAATTTTGTCATGAAAGAACATGAAGCATCAGCAATGGAAATTTTAGCATAATTTAGTTTGATATCATATAACATGGATTCACACAGCCGAGGCTTGATTGTCAGGCTGCTATTTCATCAGGGAGAAAACTCTTAGCCTATGTGTACTTGGATTTTGCATCCGTGTTGAAATAGGCAGAGACAGATGATTGATATCGTTGCAGCACGTTATAGTGCTAAGCAGAGGGAGCAAGGGGGAGACGCCTGCAGGTTTCTCATACATATCGCTATCGCCTACCCTGCTTTGTGCGACGGCTGCCGGCGGTTCGTCCACTAGGCGCGTTCTGGGAAATTCGCCCGCGCATAAAGGTTAATTGTCGGTGACGTGGCGTATCAATGCAACACGAGCTATTCAATAAGCTGCCTGTCATCGTGCTACATTTCACTTTACTCGAGCTGCTATTCTGTTACCTTGCCGAAATGCCTTTTTCAGTAGGCATTCATCGTGTTTTGCGTTTAAATTATCCTATAGCACGCTTTCTCTACATGTGCGTATTCTTCTTTTACCAACAAATTTATCTTTTGCTTATATGACTCAACTATTTTCTATTCAAATAGATACCGTACCATATCATGTACTATATCATGTAATGGCTGTGTTATTTGCCCATTACAAAATATGCCAATAAATATACAGATAAGTTTATCTATTTCTAGTGTATAAACTTCTATACATAGACGCGTGAGCGCATCTCCACGTACATGTTTTATATCTTATATTATTTCTGTTTATCAAAATCTTCAAATAATCATGCTAAACGGACCGTTAATACTTTCATTAGAATGAAGGGAGAACAAGTCTCACCAACTATATAAAAGGATAAGGTTTTCGACATTTTCGCAAATAGAGACGTTCATTTGAAATTTGCCACCCTAGACATTATACATTCAGCAACTAGAATTTACATGACAAAAGTTTGTTAGGGAATTTGCCAACAATTGATATTCAAATGTATTCCATAATTTTAACGATGTTTACGTATATGCACACACGTGCACGTGTAGACACTCCCATGCTATTACTAATTACCGAGAAGATCGATATTTACTAAATATG